CCACACGTGGCTTCTGTGGGCCTGAGAAACTCGCAGTCAGGCTTCTTCCTCTGGTTATAGTGCCTTTGGCTTGGCACCTGTGTCCTTGCAAATAACAGTTCACCAGCTTCATTCCCTTTCATTCACCAGCCGGCTCTCAGTAGAAAATGATTTACGTTCCACAGAGAGGAAACCACCACCAGGGACTACAGAGACAACTCAAGTATCTCCTCACTTTGTCCACTCTCGAAAATGGCATGCTCCAGGAGTCAGGGTCAGGTTGACTCTTTTCAGGCCAAAGATGGTCTCTCCTGTCTCTCAAAACCAGGTGTGAAATGTCCCTTCTACTTGAAAGCAGCTCTAATTAGCAACAAAACCCAAATATGTATGAAATATACTTAATATATATAAAGTAATCCCAGTAACATACTTGATAGTATTCCACCAGATTTTCAGTACTTATTATCCCACTGGTATCGTTTTTTGCGGGGGGGGGGGTGCGCGCGCATGCGTACATGCATTTGTGCCTCAGACTTGGAAACTCTCTAGAAGCAAGTGTTTTCTACTCCACAGGGTATTCCCATGGGGCTGACACAGAGATATCTGTATACAAGGTATCATCCCACACAGTAAGTCTGGGTCTTAAAGAGGGACAAATGGCAATAGGAGCACATGGAAAGAGCAATTAGTTGTGATCAGGGGAGGTGAGTAGCATCTCCAAAGATTTCAGTAGGTGGCAAGACTGGAAGGGCCTCCCAAGTAGGGGAAGTGAGACTCCAGGAGCAGGTGGAAAGGAGGAGCTTGTGGGAGCCTCAGAGGAGGCAGCATTCAGTTATCTTGTTGATCAGGAGCAGGCTGAGACTCCCTGGAGGTTGGAGGGACAGTGTATCTATTTCTTTCTTTATTATCCTTCCCAACCTGTCATTGGGAACCTCTGACTCTTCTCCAGAGATCATTAGCCACCCCCCACCCCCCGTACAACCCCCACTGGAACAGGGTTGGGAGGGGACTTGTTCAAAGACAAGACACTAGGGATTCCTCATCCAATATGCATGTTACCATCAGAACATGATTACTGGGGTACTGGCATTACAATATTTTTGTTCCCATGATGGTAAATGCCCAGGTGATCAGACTAATTAGGAGAAACAAACACAGGACTTGGCCACGCTTGAAATTTTGTGCCTTTCCTGGTAAAAATTCAAAACATTTGCCTGAATGCTAAAGCTGGTTCTAGAACTCACAGATCAGGTGAGTTGTCAATGGCTTCTGCTGGTTTCTTGGGCGGGGTAGACAATATCTGAGATGCGTGTCTCCTACTAGGAGGCCCTGAGTGCCTCCCAGTGAGCAAAGCCAATCTATTGTTAAGTTGGATTGCCTGTCAAATGTCCCCAAAATGTTTTACAGTGCCTAAGAAGTCCATGAGACAGCTTTGGATAGTCTGGGGCAACGAAACTTGTAGGACCCTATCTGTGTCTCTTTCCAGGCAGTTAAGTTACTTTTTCCTTTTCTTTCTGCCTCTCCCCTATCAGTGTATCAAAAGTTGTTAGCTGAGGGGTACATGGGGGGCTCAGTCATTAAGAGTCTGCCTTTGGCTGGGGTCATGGTCCCAGGGTCCTGGGATCAAGCCCCACATCAGGCTCCCTGCTCAGCGGGAGGGCCTGCTTCTCCCTCCCCCCACCCCCTCCCGCTTGTGTTCCTTCTCTCTCTGTCAAATAAATAAAATCTTTTTTTTTTTAAGATTCTATTTATTTATTTGAGAGAGAGAGAGCACAAGCAGGGGAAGGGACAGAGGGAGAGGGAGAAGCAAGCTCCCTGCTGAGCAGGGAGCCTGGCTCGCCCGCCACGAGGCTCCATCCCAGGACCCTGGGATCACGACCTGAGTCAAAGGCAGACCCTTCACTGACTGAGCCACCCAGGTGCCCCAAATAAATAAGTAAAATCTTAAAAAAAAAAAAAGTTCTTAGCTGAAAGCGTGCCCCAAGATCTCCCATTCCACTGAGATAACATGAGCTTTCAAAAGATGCAAACAATATAGAAATTCCTAGTGTTGGCATGCATAATGGAATATCTTGTTAGACTTCTTAAAATTACAAGAATTTACTAATCCCTACTATGTTCGTGGGAAATTCTTAAGTACTGTGGGGACAAAGTGATATAAATGCACTTTTTCCCCTCAGAGCGTCTGCTTTAGCATATTAAAGCACCTTGGTTGAATATGAGGAAATAGATGAGTGTGACAGGGTCCCCGCTCTTTTATTAAAATATTTTATTTATTTATTTTATTCTGGGGGGAGGGGCAGACGGAGAGGGAGAGAATCCCAAGCAGACTCCACACTGAGCATAGAGCCTGACAGGGGGTTCAATCCCCCAACCCTGAGATCATTACCTGAGCCAAAACCAAGACTTAGACTGAGCCACCCAGGTGCCCCCGAGAGGGTTCCCACTCTTTTTTTTTTTAAAGATTTTATATATATTTTTAAAAGATTTTATTTATTTATTTGAGAGAGAGCGCACACGTGAGCACAAGCAGGGGGAGTGACAGGCAGAGGGAGAGGGAGAAGCAGGCTCCCCGCTGAGCAGGGAGCCTAATGCGGGCTAGATCCCAGGGTCCTGGGACCATGACCTGAGCCGAAGGCAGACACCCAACAAACTGAGCCACCCAGGTGCCCGAGAGAGAGAAAGAGAGAGAGAGAGAGAGCATGAGCAGGGGGTGGAGAAGGGGGAGGGGGACAGGGAGCGAGCCCGCTGAGTAGGGAGCCCAACATGGGGCTTGATCCTAGGACCCCAAGATCATGACCTGAGCGGAAGTCAGACGTTTAACTGACCGAGCCACCCAGGCGCCCTGTTAGGGTTCCCACTCTTAAGCAGCTTCCTGGTGAGTGGGAAAAGCAAACATAAACAGCCAGCTAGACTGTAAGACAGAATGACATAAGTGCTAGAGAGCTAAGTAACAAGTGGAAGGAAGAGTAGTAGGACTAACATGGGAGACTCGTGTGAGACTGAACTGTGAAGCAGTGTCTGGCTGCCCAGGACCGAGTGCTTAGCGGAGGAGTTGAGGAAGTAAATCCGAGAACTCAGAGAGCTGAGATCCCTGGGAGGTTGGAGGGTTCCTGAAGAAGGGTTCCTGGGGAGGAGAGTCTGCATAGTGTAACTTTGCACCCAGACAACTTCTTACATAATCTGCTTCTGTAGCTCGAGCCGCTTTGCCCAGTGACAGTTTTCCTCCTGGGGTCTGGCCCTGAGTTCTTTCATCCCTTCATTGCATGTCTTTTCCTCCCCTTATGATTAAAAACCCACATTCTAGGGGCGCCTGGCTGGCTCAGTCAGAAGAGCATATGACTCTTGATCTCGGGGTTATGAGTTTGAGCTTCACAGTTCAGTCTCACACAAGTCTCCCGTGTTAGTCCTATTGCTCTTCCTTCCACTTGTTACTTAGATCTCTAGCACTTATGTCATTCTGTCTTACAGTCTAGCTGGTTGTTTATGTTTGCTTTTCCCACTCACCAGGAAGCTGCTTAAGAGTGGGAACCCTATCAGGGTGCCTGGGTGGCTCGGTCAGTTAAACGTTTGACTTCCGCTCAGGTCATGATCTTGGAGTCCTAGGATCAAGCCCCATGTTGGGCTCCCTACTCAGCAGGCTCCCCCCCGTCCCCCTCCCCCTTCTCCACCCCCTGCTCGTGCTTGTTGAGTGTACAGATTACTAAAAAAAAAAAAAATAATAATAATAAACTAAAAAATAAATGCTAGGAATCTTTCATGATTTTTGGCGTCCAGTGATGATGCTTGGCAGGGCTATACCAAGGCTAGTCCATCACCAACCATCTCCCCATCATTCCTTACAGTGAATTCCTAGCATCCCAGGCTACCCCACCACCTCCTCTGGTTCAGGCACTCTGTTGCTGACCTGCCAGATCCTGCCTAGCTCTGCAGCCCCACACTTTAGAAGACATTGTTTATTCCCAGGTACTCATTCCTTGGACTACTGACTGGATTGGGAGAGAGATTAATACCTTCCCTGTTACCTATCTGGGTGCTGAACACTTTGCCATATGTAGCTGGAGAAGAAGTGTCTCTTGGGGAATGGGGGTTCCTTTGAATCCTGATGCAAGAGTTCCCTCCCCCTCCCTTCAGAAGAAAATGACAAGCCCCTGTCCTATAGAGATGGAATCTACTCCCTCAAATCGAGGAAAAGGGATGGATCCTGAGGCCAGAGTGTATCTATAGCATCATTTTGTGTGTGCTTGTTGGGATATCACATATTTGGATGGCATCACATAATTTGGCTGAATCTATTGATAGCCCACTGCTACACCGCCAGCTCCCTTCTCATTACCGCCTCTTCTACACGTGCTCCACAGGCAGGAGCTGTTACTATGGAAATATATTATTTTTAAAAACAGAAGCAGCCCCAGGCTTGGGAAATATCTCCAGAACAAACCCACAGGAGCAAGGAGGTTAATAGGGTGTTCCTGAATCCTAGCTCCTAGTGGAAGGGAGGTGGTGGTGGTGGACAGGGCTTAATATTCCATGTTTTATTCTGACTCTACCAGGTTCAAGTTCTTTCTGGTCGGTGTCTCCAGGACCTCTGTCAGGCACTTCTATCTAGGACAGATGCTCTGCACCTACTCACCCAGGGCCTAGCTTAGGCCAAGAAATGGGAACCAAAGAAGGTGCTGAGCCTGGGGGTGTTGGGAGAAGGGGGCGATGCTATCCACGGGGTTCGGGTCCTTCTTAACCCCACATGCGTCCAAACTATAGAAATCTAAGCTGCGCAGGGGAAATCAGAGGCGGTATCTCGAGCGATTGAAGTTACTCTTGCTGTGAGCTCAGGGGAAGGGGTGTATCCCAATTTCAGTATGGGGCGGGGTGGTCAAAGATCCCGCCTATTTTCAACCCCGGAACCTCCTCCCCTCTGTGTCGTCCTCCCTCCCTCTTCTAAGCTCCTCGAGCCCCGGGCTCGCCAAGCTCCGCCCAGCGCGGGTGCGGCTCCTTTAAGGGCGGGTGGGGGCGGGGCGCCGGCCGTGTTGTCAGTGTCAGCTTTGCGCACGCAGCCCTTCCGGAGCCGGTGCCGGTCCGCGAGCCCGCACGTCTCTGCAGACGAGTCCCCGCCCGGGTCCGGCAGGGCCCGCGCCGTGGGAGGAGTCGGACGCTGGCCGGAGACTAACCCAGGTCGGACTGCCGGACTAACCAAGGAGGGAACCGGACCGCGCAGAGAGCGACCCCGGCGTCGCGACCCCCGAGGACTCCTCTTGTCGATCTGTGGCACCCACTAGTTCCGGACACCCAGCCCCGCAGAGCCCCCGAGCCCGCGCGCCCAGCCCCGGGGGAGCCCGCCCCCGCCCCGCGGCCCGCCCGGGCCATGCTCCCCCGGGGCAGCGGCTGAGCCCGAGCCGGGTCCCGGACCGGAGCCCGCGCGGAGCATGGATCCGGGCTGGGGGCAGCAGGACGTGGGCTGGGCGGCCCTGCTGATCCTCTTCGCCGCCTCGCTGCTCACGGTGTTTGGCTGGCTGCTACAGTATGCCCGGGGCTTGTGGCAGGCGCGGGCCCGCGGGGGCCGGGGGCCGGGACCCGCCTTAGCTGCCGAGCCCGCGGGCTTCCCGCGGGAGCTGGGCGTGTGGCGCTCGCTGCTGCGGCTGCGGCCGACCCGGGCCGGCGTCCCCGAGGAGCCAGGCGTCCGGGGCCTCCTGGCGTCGCTCTTCGCCTTCAAGTCTTTCCGAGAGAACTGGCAACGGGCTTGGGTGCGAGCGCTGAACGAGCAGGCCTGCAGGGACGGGGTGAGTTGGACAGGAGCACCTAAGTGGTCCCCTCACTCAACCTTTCCTTATGCCTGGAGGGCCGAATGGGGGTGGGGATCAACTGGAGAACCCTATGGCTATGGCTTCTCTTCTCCTCCGGGATTAGAGAAAAGGGTGCAGGTGGGGCTGGAGGTTGTAGAAATCTAGCTGTGTCCCAAATTCTCTATTCTGTGGTGGAGGTATTCTCTGGCTCCAAACCCAAGCACAAGTTGCTGTTCTCATAGCAACGCTAATCCCTGGGCCTGAGGGCACTAACATGTAGCCTGGGTGCAGGTTGTGTTGGAGGATTGGGGATAGAAGGGAAACAGGTGCACCTGCAGAAGGAATTTGCCTGGTCCTCATGCCACCTCACCCAGTTAACATTTCATGCCCCATATCCCTGGTTTGACCAGGCAGATAGATCCCCAAGGAGCCTGAATTACCACCACCACCCCCAAGCCCTTAGTAATTTCACTGATACAGACTAACACATCCTTCTTTTTGCTGACCTGCAGCATATATATTGTGGAAAAGTTGTTAAGGTGGAGAGCAGATTAATAGTCCATGCCCTTCTCAGTAGATGAGCCTGGAGCTGCCCCTTGAGGGTCAGTCACAAACCAGCCCAGCCTACTTCCTCCCATTGCACCATGGGCATCTGGTCTCCCAGGAAGTAGGGCAGGAAGCATGGTCATAAGACTGAGGTGGGGTGGGAGGTAGAGGCCTCCTTGTCATGGGGCCCTCTACCATCCTGGCCCAGCGGTCTCTCTTCGCCCTCACCGCCTATCAGCCCCCTGCCCAGAGGGTTCTCCAGCTCTAGCTCCCACTAGGACTTTATTAGCTCCCCAGATGCCTGGAAGTGGAAGTGTCCATACAAGAAGTTGCTCAGTCTCCTCTGTCCAGCTAGCCAGCCGAAAGCCAGATGGCATCTGTTAGTCTACACCTTGAACTCATCCCTCCGCCCAGTTCTTCCTGTACCTTGTCCCTAGGTCAGGAGCAACTCCTTGGGACAGCTGACTCAGCTGGACATTGGCCTCCCTTGCAAGGGGTGGGGAGATTGGGGTTCCAAGCATCCATCTCCCCATCTCCCTATCTCCCTGGGCCTGGCCTTCAAACAAGCCAATGACAGGAGCAGAGAAGTTGGTATTCCCTGGTTTGCCAGGCACACGAGCCCTGTGAATTTATTTCCTCTCATCCCAAGACCCAAGGAAGGGCTGCCAGCTCAATTTGTGCTCCCTCCCCAATTCTTCTTCCCATCCTGCTCTCTGAATGGGGCTTCAGTAGGCTGTTTTCACTGCTGTGTAAGAATTAGGAAGCTCTTTCAAGACCTAAGCTAAGCAGCTTTCTGCTGCCTAATACCACCCTGCTATCTGCCTTGAGGAATTAGCTAGGCCCCTGGACCCCTGAGCCCTCTGAGCTTGCTTCTCTTCCCAGTCCCTCTGGGAAAGTTCCCCAAGGCCATGCTGAGCTAGTCTTCAACCCCAACAATATGAATAGGGTCATACCCTTGATTCTCGCATCCTATTTATCTGGAAGAAGCCTTAGCCTCATTTCTTCAGCTCTTGTCTTGAATAAGTGGCCCTGCTGCTTTTACCCTTAGCTCAGCCATGTCGCTCTCTCCCCAGTTATATGTATGTACCAACCAACACCTTTATTATTTTTTTTCTATTCACGCCTTTCTTCGGGGGTAAGTTGGGGGATGAAGAGGGAGGTGAGGGGAGAAGAGGGAGGCTCCTGGTAATTCCAGGAGAAATCTAGGGTCTTCCGCTCAAGGTGATCTGATCTTTGAGGTGATCTAGCAACTGCAGGCCCTGGGCATCTGGGCGTGTGGCGCTCGCTGCTCACCCAGAGGGGTGTGGTTCTAGGGGAACACTTCCTGTCCTAAAGCCCTGAGCCAAGGAGGGGCCAGAAGCCAGCCTGCAGCTGAGGCCTCTGCAGTGCCAGGGCCCAGCCAGCAACTGAGCAGGCCAGCCCTGTGGGGGGCAGCTCCAGAGACCTGATCCTGTGTCCACATTACTCCCTCAGAGTTCCATCCAAATCACCTTTGAGGAGGTGCCCCAAGTCCCACCCAGAGCCAGCATTGGTCATGTGACCTGCGTAGACCAATCGGACCGCACCATGGTAAGGGTTTGATGGGCGCTGCCTTCCACAGGGCCTGAGGCGGGCTGATCCCAAGAGTTCCTTTCAGTCTGAGGGCTCTTGACCTGGAGTCTCTGAATGCCTTCAGGGTCCAAGGACTGGCTTCAGGAGGGCTGAGAGTCGCATTCAAGTGACATGTCAAATGTAGCACACGTGTGTATATCTGCATTTTTCTGGAGAGAGGAGACTTTGGCTTTTATTTAATTCTTCTGTGGGCTTGTGACCCCAAAGACGTGAAGTCTCAAGGAAAAGAGAGTGGGGAGGGGTCTTCATATGGCAGAGCAAAGCAGCGCTGAGCCCCCGTCCTCCGCGCCTGACCCTCCTTGCCTCTGTGCCTCGCCGGTCTCAGGTGCTGCGTTGCCAGCTCTCTGCTGAGGAGGTGATGTTCCCAGTCTCTGTGACCCAGCAGTCCCCCGCTGCCGTCTCCATGGAGACCTACCACGTCACTCTGACACTGCCACCAACACAGGTGGAGGGGGATGTGGGGAACCGAGGTGGGCAGGGGGCAGTTCAAGGCCTCAGCCTTGCAGTTGGCTTCCTCTCTGGGGCAGAATTGGGGAAGGGAGGGTCCTGGGGAATAGGGAGTCGTTGGAGGCATGAGGCAAGTCCACCTAGTCCCTCTGTCCATCCCCCGCAGTTGGAAGTCAGCCTGGAGGAGATCCCTGGCGAGGGCCTGCTCGTGTCCTGGGCCTTTACTGATCGCCCAGACCTCAGCCTGACGGTGCTTCCCAAGCTGCAGGCCAGGGAGGTAAGGGGGCAGGGCGGGGAGGAAGAGGCAGAGCAGGGAGGCAATGCAGAGCTGGGGGCCCCACCTCTTTGTTCTCCTCTGCTGTGCAGAGAGGCGAGGAGCAAGTGGAGCTCTCCACCATTGAAGAATTGATTGAGGACACCATTGTCAGCACCCAGCCGGCCATGATGGTCAACCTCAGGGCTTGCTCTGCGCCTGGAGGCCCGGTAAGTAGGCCCTCAAAGCAAATAGTTTGTAAGCGGAGCGTCCCCAGTGTGCTACGTTGGGATGCCTGTTCTTTTTACCTCCTTCTGCTCTTAGGTACCCAGTGAGAAGCCACCTGTGGTGCCCCAGGCACAGCCAGCCATCTCCAGACCTACCCGGTTATTCCTACGGCAGCTTCGAGCGTCTCACCTGGGAAGTGAGTTGGAAGGTGAGAGCCAGAAGCAGCTGGGGGACTGCCAAGGCTATGGGTGCAGGCGCTCCCTGCCCTCTGCTAAGGGTGTGGCTTCATTATTCCTCAGTGGCTTCCCATCTTTGATCTGAGCATCGTCTAATTTCTGGTTCCTCCCAGGCACAGGGGAACTGTGCTGTGTAGCTGAGCTCGACAACCCGGTGCAACAGAAGTGGACCAAGCCCATGAGCGCTGGTCCTGACGTGGAGTGGACTGAGGACCTGGCCCTGTAAGGAGTGACTCCTCCATCCCCACCCCTGCTCTCATGGGCAGACTGAGGATCAAACCCTTCCAGCATAGCCCTGGCATGAATCAGCTCTACTCTTAGTAAACGCTTCTGTGAGCCCTGATTGTATGCCAGGCCCTGGCCTAGGTCCTGGGGATACAAACATGACCAAGATACACCCCCACTCCTGAGTTGATTGCAGGCTCCAGGCAGAGACAGAGGTACATAAAGAAGATGGGATAAGGGCTCCAGTCAAGATTTACACAAGGTGCCGTGGGCATGCTTAGGTGGGGGAGATTAATTCCCATGGGGAAATAAAGATCGGAGTAGGCTTCATGGAGGAGGTGGTGTTTAAACCACCCCTTACAGCAAGAATAGGATTTCAACAGACTGTGACAGAAAAATGTTTTTGGCAGAGGAAACAGCTTGAGCAAAGGAAAAGGGGTGGTTTGACAGAGAGAGAGAGACAGGGAGGGCCTGAGGAGGATCCATGCCCAGCATCCCGAGCAGAGCCCTATCCCATTCTCCTGGGAAGAGACAGTGTTTGTTTGTTTGTTTAATTTTTTAAAGTCTTATTTATTTAAATAATCTCTACACCCACCGTGGGGCTCCAACTCATGACCCTGACGTCAGGAGTCACCTGCTCTTCCAGCTGAGCCGGCCAGGTGCCCCAGGAAAAGAGAGTATTTGGGCGGCAGGAGTTAATCTGATCGGAGCTCTCGTTCCATTTTATTTATGTACATCTCTCTTTGCCTCTGGACTGTGGTCAGTTTGAGGGTGGGTGTGGTTTGCTAATCTTCCCCCTCCCTGCCCCACCTCCTCCTGGCCACAGGGATCTGGGCCCCCAGAGCCGGGAGCTGAGCCTCAAAGTACTGAGGAGCAACAGCTGTGGAGACGGTGAGTATCGGGCAGGAAGGAGCACCTCTAGGTGGGTGCTAAGTGGGGCCTGGTCATGGGCCCAGCTCACAATGCTGTCCCTTTCCGCAGCTGAACTCTTGGGCCAGATCACACTGTCTGTGGGGCCCCCTTCCAGACCTCTCTCCCGAAGACAGCTATGCCCACTCGCCCCTGGGCCGGGGAAAGCCCTGGGACCGGCGGCCACCATGGCAGTAGAGGTGAGAAGCTGAGCCTAGGGGGAAGATGGGAGGACACTGGGGAAGGGCAGTCTTTGAGGCCCCGCCTCTTTGCTCTTCCTCCCCCTCGGCAGCTTCAGTATGAGGAGGGCTCCCCCCGGAACCTGGGCACTCCCACTCCCTCCACTCCACGCCCCAGCATCACACCCACCAAGAAGATCGAGCTAGACCGGACCATCATGCCTGATGGCACCATTGTGACCACAGTCACCACCGTCCAGTCCCGGCCCCGTGTAGAAGGGAAACTAGGTAAAGAGAAGGGAGCCCAGTCCGAGCCAGGGGCCCCTGCCTGCAGACCCGTGTGGGACAGGGAAGGGCAAGGGAAGGGCAAGGGAAGCCCTAATTCTAGCTCCTCCTGTTTTCCAGCCACAACTAGCTAATCATCTCTCTCAGGCTTCCCCTTACATCCCTCCTCTTCCCCACCGTTCCTCTCCCGCTGTGATCCTGGGGATCCTGGGTCTTCTGGGCCCTCCTGCCGGCTTCTCGCCCTTCCACCTCCCGCGTTCCCCACTGACTTTTCACAGGTCTCCTGCTGGCCCTTTCTGCGGCCCCAACTGCCTACTTGTCCCTCCCTCTACCCTCAACCTTCTAGCACCTTTGGGATCCACCAACAAACCCAGTGACCTCTGTGATACTTCTCTCACTCCTGGGGGCCCTCCATGACATTCCTCCCATCTCTGGGGGGGGTCCCACGGGGTTCTCTCTGCCCCCAGGGGACCCTTGTGCCATCTCTGGGCACTCTCAGCATCTTCAGGGCTTCTCCCCACACCCTGGGTGGGCCCCATGGCACTTCCCCACACTCCCATTGGTGTCCTGTGGTGTCTTTTTGCCCCCCTGGCATCTTATTAATCACCCGTGTGATTGACTGTCCCTTAGTCACCCCTGCCCTCTGAGTCAGCCAAAGCCTGCATCTCAGTAAAGACAGTAGGGGGTGGGGGCCACTTTAAGGCACCTCCCAGCTCACTGACCCTCCCCCACCCACCAGACTCCCCCTCCCGCTCCCCGTCCAAGGTGGAGGTGACCGAGAAGACGACAACTGTGCTGAGTGAGAGCAGTGGCCCCAGCAGTGCTTCCCACAGCAGCAGCCGTGAGTGGGGGACCGGGAAGTGTGAGTGTTGGTGGGCACGGGGACCCCAGAGTCAAAAAACCATTTTGCGTGGGACCCAGGAGCCGGGGAAGAGTCAGGTTATCCATCGTCTGTACCCCCCAGCAGGGGAGAGCCACCTTTCCAACGGCTTGGACCCTGTAGCAGAGACAGCGATTCGTCAGCTCACTGAGCCCAGCGGGCGGGCAGCCAAAAAGACACCCACCAAGCGTAGCACTCTTATCATCTCTGGCGTTTCCAAGGTAACGTGGCTCTGAGGAGAGGAGCTGGGATAGAGAGAAAGCCCTGATGGGTCACTCCTGCCCATTAAAATGTGTTCCTCCTACCAGGTGCCCATTGCTCAGGACGAGTTGGCACTATCTCTGGGCTATGCGGCATCCCTGGATGCCTCAATGCAGGATGATGCAGGAACCAGTGGAGGTCCCTCCTCACCACCCTCAGACCCACCAGCCATGTCCCCAGGACCCCTCGATGCCCTCTCCAGCCCCACCAGCGCCCAGGAAGCAGATGAGACAACACGTTCGGACATTTCTGAGAGGCCATCTGTGGATGATGTTGAGTCGGAAACAGGGTCTACTGGTGCGCTGGAGACCCGCAGCCTCAAGGATCACAAAGGTGGGGAGATATTGGCAGCACCCCCTCCCCTTCTTTTATGCCCAGTATCAGGACCTGGGTCTTACTGGACACTTAAGGGAATGGGATTCTCAACCCAGTTTGCCTTCCCCTTCCTCCGCTGAGGGATCCCCAGAGTTCCCAGCCTGTTTCAGCCAAGACAGAGTGGAGAAGGGGAACTTACTGCCTAGGGTCCTGGCCTGGATCTGACAGATGCCAGTGACAGGGAGGAATGCCAGAGTATTTCCCTTAACTTCCACTTTTCTTCCTTCCTGGGTCTAAGCATATATCTTCTTTCCTATTGTTGTGTTTTTTTTTTTTTTTCTTTATCCCCCTTCCATTCTGTACTCTCTTCCTTATGAGTATAAGAAATCCTACCCTGGGTCAACTCTCGGAGTGTCCTTCTAGCAGTGACATGGCTGGCCCATGGATAGTCGTGGTACTTTTCTAACTTTTAAAGATGAGGGGCTCACCCCCACACATCTTTATCCCTCTGCCAATGAGTCTATCAACCACAAATGTATTTAACTGTGACTTAAGTCTGCATCACTTCTTGGTATAATGAGATTCCTAAGTCCAAAGCCTGCTGTGTAAACACTTTTCTCATTATGTTGGTCCTGAATTTACCTCCTTGAGGTTTTCTAGCTGCCCTGCTTCCGGCTCACATCCTGGAATTTGGTCGATGTGTCAGTGCCCACCCACCTTGTCGTTCCATGATTTTAGGGGCTCTTAGGAATCCCCTCTACTCAGCCTTTGTCTTTCTGTAGTAAAGAGGCCCAGTTGTCAGTCTGGCCTCGCAGAGCAGCAACCCCGTGACGTTGCTGCTCAGCGGCAGTCAGAGGGTGCACACAATCCCATGAGCACCGCCAGTTTTTCCTCAGGAAAGATAAAAGGCATGTTTTTTCTCTACTTTCTTTTCTAAGGAAGCCTGGCTTTTAGACAAAGGAACTGGTTCTGTTCTGTATCTTTGACCCCTCCTCGCTTGGTCCTTTCTCTGCTCCCCACCTCACCCCATGTCTGCCCTGCCCCTCTCTCTGCCTCAGCCTCCCCTCTCCCCCCACAGTGAGTTTCCTGCGCAGTGGCACGAAGCTTATCTTCCGCCGGAGGCCTCGACAGAAGGAAGCTGGTCTGAGCCAATCACACGATGACCTCTCCAATACGGCGGCCACACCCAGTGTCCGAAAGAAGGCTGGCAGCTTTTCTCGCCGCCTTATCAAGCGCTTTTCCTTCAAATCCAAACCCAAGGCCAATGGCAATCCCAGCCCCCAGCTCTGAGGGCCCTTCCCACCTCCTGAGCTAGGAGAGGGCAGGAGTCCTCTCAGCCCACCCCCCACATCCTCTTCCGTTCCCCTTCCTGGATTCCCAACAGCCTGGGCCAGGGAAGCCCTCTGGGTTCCAGGAAGCCCTGTCCACCCTGGGCTGTGGGGCCGGTTGGAAGGCTACTTGCAACGGGAAGCATGAGGGGGCGGGCACCCGTTGCTGAGGACACAGAAGAGGGAGTGGGTGGCTGGGAGTAGAGGAGGGCTCTGTCCTGGCACGTGTGGGCATTTCTCAGAACCGGTTGCCTGCTGTTGACATTGGCCCCTCAGAGGAGTCCCAGGGTGCTCAGCTCCTCAGCTGGTCCTTCCTCCCCTATTTATTCTCTTTTCTATTTATATGTGTGGTCCAGGACCCTCAGTGAACAGATGAGAGAGGGCATCTCTCCCAGGTGACCCTTCTTTCCTGTCCCAGGAGGGTAGGCAATTAATTCCCTTTGGGACAGGACTCCCATGTCTCCCTCAGGTCCCCACTCCAACCAGCACCAGTGTCTGCCTCTGGGGACATTGGCAGCTCACAGAAAGCCCGAGCCGGTGCCCTGGATGGGGGGCAGGTACTCCCCACCTCCCTGCCTCCCCTCCTGCTCCTCATCCCTCCCTCCCCTTTATTACTGTTTTTGTACTTGATGCCTTCTCCGTGAGCAGTGGCTCTGTCAGAAGGAGGGAGTCAGGAGCTGGATGGAAGCCTTCCCCAGAGAAATGGCTTTCAGGGGCTTTATTAAAGACTGTGATGATGATGGAGCAAGAGCAGGGCTATACCTCTGTGTGTTGGGAGATGATGATGTCCATTGCTGTGTGATGGCTTGGAATTTAATTTATTAAATTAAAGTCAAATTGGAGTTTACAAACTGGACAATGGTTATCCTTTGAAAGGTGAGTGAGCAGCAAGGCTGGGGCATTGGTGGGGTGGTCAGAGACAGGGGACCAGATAGTGAGGTAGGGTAAACGACACATATGGGGTCTGCTGAGAAGTTCCTGCAGGGAAGAAGGGACAAGTAGAGAGAGAATGGGAGAACGAGACTTTGAAGGGTGAAGTCATAGCAAAAAACGTCAATCAGAGAAAAAAGCCATCTTCATTCCCCTTTCTTGAATAAGCTGCTCCTTCCAGGATATAATAGAATCCTAAGCATGGATTCTGGATCTAGATGGCCTAGATTTGAATCTCAGCTCCTCTAATTACCTGTGTGACCCTGGGCAAGTTACGATACCACAGAGTGTCTCAGTTTTTTCATCTGTAAAATGGGAACTGTGATAGTAGCTATCCCTTGGTTGTGGCTGAGAAGTAAATGCATAAAGTGCTTACAATTCTGCTGGCATATGGTCAGTGCTGAATAAGTGCTAACTGTTGCCTCAGAATTCTGAGACAGATTGGGAGGGGGAAGTTTTAAAAGGGTTTCAGCATACTGAAAAGTCTTTCATTCCTAAGTGTGGGCAAGTTTCAGGGAGTTACGGATACTAGCAAAATCTACACCCTGGTTCATGTTCTGTGGGACCTGACCCAGGATTTGAACCAGGTAAGCTGCAGCAGGATGTCAGCCCTGGACCAGGGACAGAAAGCCTGAGTATGCCACAGACACACCAAGTGACCTTGGGGCAGACCACTTCTCTTTTCTGGATCTCTACTTCCTCATCCCTAAAATGGAGAGTGGCTTAGATAATCATTCAGGTCACGTCCAGCCTCACCATTCTGACTAACTTACATCACAGGGGGTTTGGGGCACATGCCTTTGGGTAGGCAGCATGGAACTGTCGATGTTTAGCATGTCCTGTCCATACTAGTCACAGAATATAGGATTTTTATTTTTATTTATTTATTTGAGAGAGAGCGCACCAGTAGGGTGAGGGGCAGAGGGAGAAGCAGACTCCCCGCTGAGCAGGGAGCCCAATGTGGGGCTCAGTCCTGGGACTTGCCCTGAGCCGAAGGCAGACACTTAACCAACTGAGCCACCCAGGTGCCCCCGAATATAGGATATTTAGTACGTGGCAGAGTATGGATATTTGGTTAATTTGTATAGTGATATGCTCAACTCTAGGTCATGAAAACTCAAGAGATTTACCAGGCTGTTTCCCTTGATCTACGAAGGGCAACTCTTAATAGCTCACAGAGGAGCAGCTTATTTACCAAGATGCCAAGATAGCCAAACACACTGATCTCGAAATTTTACAATAAACTTTTGTTGACGGGAGGGCAAGTGTTCAGATTCCCACTGGATCTGTGGATTGAGTGGATGGTAACTGGAAGTTGTACTCAGCTTCTAGTGCCGAGCTGCCCAGAGCTCAATGGAATCACATAGTTTATGGTAAAGAACTGGATCACATTTCAAACACAGGTGGTTGTTTTTTTTTAATGAATGTATAAGAAATACAAAAGATTATTTGATCAGCTTTATCCATTTTACACTTTCAGAAGAGAGCCACAGCTTTTCATGAGTATGAATTATGCTTTAAGTCTTTGTGGCAGCTTTCAAAGAACAAATCTCAGGATGTGTCTGAATTATCCAACCAAAATTGTAGCTTGTTTTCAAGAGAAGCAGACTGAGATGGAAGTAGATAAGCTAGACAGCAAGATGTGGTCTCAAGTTTTGGAGATGTGTGGATCCCAGGGCTATCCTGAAACTTTTGCCCTGTAAAAATTGTTTTGAGTCTACATAGCTCTGTGAATGAAATTTTTCCTCATGAAATTGCTAAATTAAAGCTAAGAACCATCTTCAGCGGTGTAAGTCTGAATTAAAAGAAGGCTGGCATTTTGTGTATTACTATCTGTGCTTTTGAAGGAATGAAGTTGATAAAGTATATTTTTGTTACTTCTGAATTATATTTTAAAAACTCTATTTTAAAATAGGGACAATGCTATAATCCACTGTTAGTAACAAACTTCATGCACAAATTTTTTTATGCACAAATTTCCGATTTTACTCTGACTTTGTTATTTTTAAGTGTCTTTTATTTATATTGAACATTTAATGTGTTTTCTGATTATATGAATCATATAGGCTTATTTTAGGTTAGAAAATACAGAAAAATGTAACAAAATAAATCTCAAGCCCAATGAACTTTACTAAGGTACATTATTTAACAAATACCTCTTGAACCCTTAATGTTTCAGCTGCTAGGCTAAGTGATGGGAGTCATGAAGGTGAAGAGCACATACAATCCCTGCCCTGCCTTACTGGAAGACTTCTTGGGAAAAGAAGCATCTTCACTGAGACCAGAAGAACGAGTAGGAGTCAATCAAATACATGTCAGAGGGGGAGCAGGGGGAAGATGGCACCAGGCAGAGGAAACAGCAAGTACAAGGCAGGAAAGGTTAAAAGGTGGCTAGGTGTGGTGGAGAAACTGCAAGAAACTCGGGGCTGGAGAGCAGAAAATGAGGGCAGGAAGGACGAAAGACACGGTTGAAATATACAGGACTCAGATGTTGAAGGGTCTAGAAAGCCTCAGTATGGTTTGGGGTTTTTGCCTCGAGGCAACAGAAGGCGTTGACGCGTTGAAACCGGGGTGGTGGTTTAATCAGATCTCCGTGAGCAATGTCTTGGAGGGAAGCAAGAGTGCATACAAGGGAACCAGATAGTGTAGACATCGGGCTGGGCGTCGTTAATAGACTAGCGAGGAGGCGGCGAAGGATGGGGGGTGATTTTGAGAGCTCCGGTGTTTAAGGAGGTAAAATTCACAGGGCTTGGCGGAGGATCGTAGGTAACGGATGAGGGAGGAATCAGGGAGGACTACCGGCTTTCCGACTTAAAGGAGGGGATGGATAACATGGCTGTTCACTGAGCCTCGGCAGAGGAGAGGTGGTGGGGGGAAAGAGAAGATGGCACAGGAATACCGATATTTAAGAAATCAGAGTAAGAGGGTGACGGGTAGAGGTAGGATCGAGTTCGGGTCGGGAGGGGCTGACAGCTCCGCGCACGCATCCTTGAGCGCAGCTGCCACCGCCTCCCGCTCCTCCTCCCTGAGCTCGCCGGCAGCTAACGCAGTAAGCCGCGCGCGGAAGGAGAGACCCCACTAGGCGCTGAGCTCGAGCCCCGCGCAGGCCCAGTAGGTGCCGAGCGCGGAGCCTGCGCAGTTGAGGGAACTCGAGGCCTTGGGATCCCAGTCCGCGCCTCGCCTGGAACCCCGCGGCGCCAGCAACGCTACCTTCCCCCAGCCCGCCGGTCCTCACTCCCGCCCCTTCCGTATTTTGGTCGCGCACGGGTTCCGTCAGTCGCAGCGGCCATTGGCTGTTAGAGGAATCCGAGAGCGGCAATTGGCTCTCGCTGGCCGTCGCTCAAGCGCCCTTCCGGAGATGGTCCGAGGTGGGAAGAGTTGCAGAGAGCCGGCAGCCGAGGGACGGTAAGCTGGGCTCCGGGCTTGGTAGGGGGAGCGTCGGGGTGCGCTCTGAGCAGGCTGCCGGGGCCAGGCTCTTCTTTAGTCACCTCGGCGAGGCTTCCTCTCGCAGCTCGGCCACGTCGGTTTGCCTGGCGCCTGCAGTGCCCCCGGCCCCTAACCCCGACTCGAACCTCCTTGCTTTCTCGTCTGGGGCTTCGCTGCTGCTGAGACATGGTCACCGCCATGCCTTAGTGGGAGAAGGACTCCGGGAAGCCTGCGGGGCTGCGAGGGAGAGGTTTTACCTGCCGGGACGGTCTCCTTCTCTTCGAATTCTACCGGTGTTTCAGGGGCCCGGGCCCCGCCACGTAGGGCAAGTCTTCCCCGCTTCGCCTATGCACTGGGATTTCTTTCGGTCCTGACTTCCCTCATTGGCGCTTTGTTTTGGCGGTTGTCGTCACACGTCATTGTCATCTCTTCGGTCAAATTGTGAGTCCTTAGGAGGTTCAGGACATAGGTTCTTCCTTTTCTTGAATAGCGTTCTGGTTAATTTGGTGCCTTGCGTTAAAATATATACTCTTAAGTATTTGCTGATTGCTTCTTACTGTGATTCCAGATGAAAAGAAGTATTAGGAATTCCTCTGGTTGTCCCTTTGTTGAACGTCTTGTAGAATTGTGCTTAGAGCGTCTCACCCTCAGAAGCAAGGATCCAGATAGCTAACACTTGTTGAGTTCTGGCAGGGTGTTACGGTAAGCGTTTCAATATCCATTATTTAGTTTAGTCCATAAGTCAATTCAGTGAGACAGGCTTAATGATTCCCCTGCTTCATGGAAAACTGAGGCGGAAGTAACTTGTGGGAGGGCACACAGCTAGTAAATGGGGGCGCTTTCTAACCAGGTTTGTTGAATCCATCACTAGTTGTGATATTAATATCCCATTTTACATTCAAAAAAACAGGTTCAGAGAAGCGAGGTTATTTATCCGAAGAGTAAAGTAATAAGTTACAGGTTCACTTAAACATTTTAAAAGAGACTGTATGAGGATGTGCTGGTCCTGAATTTAGAACTGAACAGGACACAGGCCAGGCTTGTAGGAGCTCACAGTTTATTGGAGGAAGCTGACGGAATAACTACTTACTGAAACATGTTTGGGGTATTGGGTATACAGATAGGAGGCCTATAGGGAGGAAGGAATCAGACAAGGAGAGAGAAGATGGCAGGTGTAGGAGGAAAACGGAGCCAAACTCCCTGGCTTTGAATTCTGTCTCCATCACTCCCTAGCTCTGTGGCCTTAGGTAAATTACTTAACCTATCAGGGCCCATTACCTCATTTGTGAAGTGGGATAATAACACCTCAGTAGGTGGGTTGTTGTATTAATGAGTTTTTATACATAGAGGACACTTAGAACAGTGCTTTGCCTACTGTAGATACTTAATGAATGTTATATTATTCTAGGCAGAGTAAAATAATTGAGACAGGAAACTTGAACCCAGATTTTCTGACAGCTGGTCCAATGCCCTCTCTAGTATACAAGGTGCCTCACTG